GACCTTCTGGATTTATATCCTAAAACATTGATGATAGCCTTGCTCATTTGTGTTCTACAAAGTATACTTTTCATTTATATTAGTCGTTAAATATTATGGGGAAAGATTTTACCAACATTGTGATGTTAAGTAGCTCTCTAAATGTTGTACTGCATGATAGGTATTTACCATTTCCGCAACTTTAGTTGCATCTATATTATTTCTTATTTTTGAAGAATATTTTTTTTTGCAATAGATGTTGATAGACTGCCCTGTACTGATTTATGCTTTGAAGATTTTTGGTGCCTCAAAATATCATATTCCCTTCCCCCATTGTATTAACTAAATACTATAGAACAACTTCCCCGCACTGATTATAATTATTTTTTACATTGTAAATTTAAAATTGTTTGTTTTTTTATAAAATCTTATTTATACATTAGCATAAAATATATTTTTTTACATTGTAAAATTACAAATTTTATAAAATTTTATCTTGTTTACATTCTTTTGTATATAAAAAAGATCGTTGGTTATTATTTTTAAACAAAATTAATATATTATAATAAATCAATATGTTATTTTAATAATAAAGATAGTATTTAAGAAATTTTGTGTCGTACTATAATTACCTATTTTGAAAAATAGTTGCGTATTTTATTTTGGAAAATAGTTACCTATTTTATTTTGAAAAAGAGTTGGATATTTTATTTTGAAAAATAGTTGGCTATTTTATTTTGAAAAATAGTTGGCTATTTTATTTTGAAAAATAGTTGGCTATTTTATTTTGAAAAAATAGTTGGCTATTTTATTTTAAATAGTTGGCTATTTTATTTTGAAAAATAGTTGGCTATTTTATTTTGAAAAATAATTACTATTTTATTTTGGAAAATAGATTCGAATTTATATTTATAAAAAATAATAAGCGGATAACTAAGTCAATTCTAAATCCCGGCCCCTTTTTTAGCAATTTCCATATTTCTCCCACAATTTTTATATTACTCCCACAAAATACCGAATTTCTCCCACAATTTGAAAATTTTGACCTGGCAACCCTGCTCGTGGTTAGGGTATGCAAATATATTTTTCCTATAAATCAAAAGTGGTAATAAATTTAAATCTATTTATCTTAGATAAAGCTAATTATTTCCATTATCGGGTCAATCATTCTGGAAATTTTGTTGATCCTAATGACAGATCCATCCACACCCAAAAAGTTGTGGCGGGATCTAAAAACAAACTACAAAATACATAGGGATCGCTATAATATTCATGAAACATATTTACAAACCTCGCCACCCCCCTGTCGACTGGTTTCTCCATAAATGAATAACAAGTGAACAAAGACTAAGAAAAAGCAAAGCTCCAGGGCCAAATAATATCACAGCAGAAAAACCAAAAAATAGCACCTATAACAATATCGCTACCTATTTGCCCTCATTTAATAGAATATGGGAGAGCGGAACTACTGCAGTGGGATGGATCAAAATCCTACCTAAGTAACTACCCAAAAAAACTAAGACCAGAGAAATTTAAGGGTTATTGAGCTATAGCCATCACATCCTATAGCATGGAAAAAAAAGCATATCACCCACACCGTAAAACTCCCCCCCCCCCCAAAAAAAAAATACATAAGTATATACAGGCCAAGAAAAGAAAATACTGGAGCCAAAAATTAATTTAGAAAAATAATCATGCAGAAAAACTAAGTACAAACCCCCTTCTGCTTTACATTTGTGAATTATAACAGAGCTATTGATAATGTTAACCATGCAGTTTTGTCAGAAAATGGAAGACCCCAAACATCTTCCAGATCCAGAAAACCACTAATACATGTTGTGCTTCGAAATCAATGACGAAGAAAATCCCCTACCTCCAAGGTAAAAAGGAGTAAAACAAGGCTAAACTCTTGCCACTCCTAAATAAATAAAGATCATAAAAATAAAAACAAGAAGAAACACTGGCAACGACCAATGTATTATATGTAGACTTCAATTTAGATGTAATGTTTTGAAAAAGTTAAAGACGTTAGATCTAGTTAACTAGCGATAATAAAAGAAAAAAAGTTTTTTTTTTTATTCCTTATTTTTTTAAAGAAAAAACAAGTAATCACTTCAAAAACTTATAGTTAGAAACAGGGTAAATGTAGTCACAACGTATTTAAGAAATATACTTAATAATGGAAGTAGTTGCAAAGAAGAAGAGAAATTAGAATACAAAAGCGAGTGGAAACTTTTAAATGTATACAAAAAGTATGAAAGATAAGAGAGAAATCGGTAATTTCTAGACTGAGGACACATTCACTATTCCTATATTTGTCTATAGAGAGACTAAAGAAACTAGGGAAGAGAAAAATAAATAAATAAAATAAAAGAAACAGATGACTATAAACAAATAAATGTCTCATAAACAAAAGAGGATACCCTCTACCCCAGAAACATTACAAACTCAAAAACTATGGAAAAATTACAAAAACATACCCAAAAACTAAGTTAAAAAGAGCCAAAGAAAAATTTTAGCCCACATAGGAAACGCAAATCACAAACTATTCCTCAAAAATGTCATTAATATATCTTAACTCATATAATGGGAATGCATAGAAGTACAACGTATATTTAATTAAAAATATGGGACGGACTGATTTAAATTAGTATATTAAGTCAATAAGATAAATAAAAGCTGAAGTCAGTGAAGTAAGTAATTCATAGAAAAGGTGAAAGGCAAAATCAAGAGGTAAAATTGAGAGATGAAGAAATTAAATAACCTGAAAAATACAGAAAAAAAAAAATAGGAATATGTCACTAAAAATTCTATAGAGTATATAATTAATTTTTTTAAAAGCAAATAAAGTATCTATATTTATGAAAATATTTAAACAGTTTCTTTAAAAATATAAAATCTTTTAGCACATTCTCTTTGAGTATGATGATTTAGAAATTTAATAACCTAAATTTTTTTAAAAATAAACTATATGCATTGTATTTGTTATACATAAATAGTTTTGAAAAGATGATAAAATAAATGAATAAATGACACAAAAATAAACAAAAGTCCACCTTATAAAGGTCTTGCGCATATAAACAAAAAAATTAAAATCTGCCTACTTTTCAAGTATTAAAGCATTTTCGAATAGTAACTAACTAAGTAGAAATTAGTCAAATTTGGGAGTTACACAAATTATTAATTTCCCAAATTAGACAGGTTTGATTGTATATATTTTTTCTTTAAAAAAAGATATTTCCTTCCTCTATATTTTCTTTTTTCAATTTATGTGATGATCACATCTGGTTTTAAGGCCAATTAATAATTATTATTTTCGAAAAAATACAAAATAAAATGTTAAAATTTATGGAAAATATTTAAAACAAAACTTAAAAAAGAAGAACATGTTATCCTAGATAGAGAGGAGTGAATACTTAAATAATTGGATACATGAGAAATCTGCCGACAAAGGTGAATTCTTTTGTATTTTCCGCCGTGAATTTCACTAACTGTAAATGCAGGGTGATGAGTCTCCTTAAAAATCTGGCTTTCATAGTATCCTAATAAAGTTTCTAACAAAGCATTTATTTTCATGATGAAATAATGAAAAATAATATACACGACACATAGATAGATTTAAAGTAATTTTAGCATATATCCTATCCTCTAACAATGTTTATAGATAGCATAACGTTTTAAAAAATATCACAATCAGAACTAGATATAGTGTTGTAGAAAGCCACGATTTTGCATTTTTTTTTAAAAAAAATATGGGCCCAATCAAGATTAGAGCTAAAATAATATTCCGTAGAAGCCTCAAGATTTCGCATAAAGATGGCAGTACGTTTTGTATTTCTTTTCACCAAATTTAGAGGTTTAGGTATTTTTTTGGCAAAAATTGATAAATCTAGGTTTTCGACGATTTAAGATATAATCAATATTTATTTGTGGCCCTAGTAAAGTTAAATGGGTCGATTTGAGCCGATTTTTAAAAATGGCGAACTCAATATTTTAACTATAAAAATATTGCCTAGGCTTCATTTCGCTAATAGGTCTTCAAACCATTGTGGCATTTCTGCCCAAAATTTTCAGGCTAATGTAATATTTTTTTTGGATAAAATATTGAGTTGGCCATTTTTAAAAATCGGCTCAAATTGAGTTGTTTAACACTATTTTTGCCTGAAGATAATTCATATTAAAAGGTATCTTTTTTTATAAATACAACATTTAGTCACATTCCTAACAACGATTTCTCGGTGAATTTTGTTTTCAGTGTATTACATGGGATTTGGTGGAAAAGACTCGACCCAGTCTTGTTAAATCGAGTTTTTGACCGACTTATCAATTGTTTGAATTTTACTTGAGCAATGCCAATCCCATAATAAAATCAACTGACCCGTCTTAGAAAAATGGGGCATTTAACTTGAAATCGCTATTGTAGAACCCATTTTAGATAAAAAAAAAAAAAGTACTCCTTATGTTATATGATGAGTATATACTACCATACTTGAAATTCAAACAACAAGTGCAAAAATTTAATAATTTTATAAATTTAGGTATCAAAACATTTAATATGCTATAAATAAGCTTTTTCTCTATACAATAAATTTTTTTATTATAATTCAGTTTTGTAAACTTTAATAGATTTGTAATATCAGATCTTAATTCAAAAAAAGAACTTTTTATTTGCAAGTTAACTATTATTTTTTAAATCAGTGGTATAACTAGGATTGATATTTTTTTTAAAAAAAAATTCACAATTATTATTATATAATCAATATATTATTTCTTTCTCTGAACCTTCATTAGAGGTATTTGAATATGAATTGCACCTATAAAATTTTATTCCTTAACTTAAACCAAACCTTTTTATTTTTTTTCCTGGAACCTGAACCAAACCTATATATCAAAAGGTTTGATCTGTAGTATAATATCTAAAAAAAAATGGTTAATCCCAATCAAAAGAAAGATATTCCATAAATAACTTAGAATTATATCTTAAGCTAAAATTATATTTATTACAAAAATATATAAATTACTAGAACTCCAATTGGATACAGGACTATAAAAGCATTGTACCTACAAATTTTATTTAATAATAAAAAAAATTAAATTTAAGGAAAATGTGTACATAACATAATAAAGAAAATTAAATGTTCACAGTATTATCCAGTAAATAGATAAATACATTTTAAAATGTAAATATATATATTTAAATCATAAAATAATTTCAAATCAGTTAAACTTACCTCAGCCAGATCATCAAATATGGTAAAGTGTTAGAATTATAAATTGTCCAGGCATAATATGAATATCTTATATTTTCAGTAATACTCCAGGCTAATATAATAAAAAATGAACCTAAATCTGAGGTTACCTAAAATAAATAATATATTAAATGTATTCAATAATATACTTGATATGGTTCATAAAAAGTAACCCAAACTATAAATAATCTTCCAAATAGTTGTAGAAATACAAATGTAGGTGATGATTTTACTAAACCAAAAATAGCATGAAATAACTATTAATTTATAAAAGGAATTAGATAAAATAAAATGCTAATACTAAAATACTTCTAAAATGGCCAATGTTTGAAAGAGTTGAACTAAAGATTCTACTGAATAGTATACACCATCTATAGATCCTGTAAATGAGATATGGATACACATCATGGTGAATATTGCGCTCCATCTAAAAAATTTATGAGTTCTTAAGTTAAAATATTACCCTGAAAGACACACCAAATTATATAATAATAAATAGAATCTCGCAGCTGATTTTACCGAGAGCATCGTCGAATGAACAAATGCTTATGCCATATGGTGGTAAGTGTTCGGAAATACATTTATAATTCGCTGTAATATTATCTTAATTATATTGTATTATTATAATAATAATATAGTTAATGGCCTCAGTTTGTTAATTGACTATTACCATTACTTTTTATATTATATAAAATAATTAAAAAACGATATAAAGATTATTAATTCTATTCAATTACGATCATCAAAATATACACATTCTTATAAATCTTGTAATAATTATTACTTAAGAATAATAAAGATTAAAATTTATTCTGATCTATTATTTTGAGCGAATACTTACGTAGATAAAGCTGCAGAAACAAAAAACATGTATTTTTTTTAAAAATTTTGATTTTTTTATATTGTAAATTTCTTCCGTTAATTTAATAATAAATTGTAATTATGGTATCACGACAATACGGTGCGGCGCTAATCGCGGTGATAATTCTACGTGGCGATAATCCTATGCGGCGATATTTCTACGAGGCGATAATTAGGGGCAGGTTGTTAAATTGCTTGGTTGGGTCGAATTAGCATGATTTTTGGTTGGGTTTTTGGTCGAAAAAATGAACCAAAACCAAAGCAACCAAATTGGTCGACCTGGTCGACCAAATTCATAGACCCGAGCACCGACCCAAGCATCGACCCGAGCACCGACCCGAGCACCGACCCGAGCACAGACCCGAGCACAGACCCGAGCACGGACCCGAGCACAGACAAGAGCACCGACCCGAGCACAGACCCGAGCATCGACCCGAGCACCGACCCGAGCACAGACCCGAGCATCAACCCGAGCACAGACCCGAGCATCGACCCGAGCACAGACCCGAGCATCGACCCGAGCATCGACCCGAGCACCGACCCGAGCACGGACCCGAGCATCGACCCGAGCACCGACCCGAGCATCAACCCGAGCACAGACCCGAGCACAGACAAGAGCATCGACCTGAGCATCGACCCGAGCACGGACCCGAGCATCGACCCGAGCACAGATCCGAGCACAGACCCGAGCATCGACCCGAGCACCGACCCGAGCATCAACCCGAGCACCGACCCGAGCACAAACCCGAGCACCGACCCGAGCACAGACCCGAGCACAGACCCGAGCACCGACCCGAGCATCGACCAGAGCACAGATCCGAGCACCAAACCAAATCAACTTATAATAATTTATTGTTAATGTTTTGCTCAATTTTATGCATAGAGGACGAATATTTCAATAATAGTCTTTTTAAAAAAATTGTATATTTATATTCTGAAAATTAAAAATTAGAGGACGAGTAATTCAATTTCATATTAATTAAATAATTGATATGGAATTCAAAATAATTACCTTCTAAGACCGTGAAAAATTTATTATAGGAATTTATCGATTTTTAGATATTTATAATTCATATATCATCGAAAAATGAGGATAATTTATGTTGATTTAATTCTTACCCTAAAGTTGTAAAAAATGGCTAAGCCTCAAACAGATTAGATATGCTGGCTCAGGAGTTGACATAAGTCACCTCAGGAGTTGACATTAGTCACCTCAGGAGTTGACTCTACTTTAATTTTAAGCTGAAATGCATTTATTTGTTGTTTAACTCTAATTCGATAATGGATATTACAAATTAATGTATTGTATAGCTTAAAATTGCCTTCCCACCAAAATATTTTTACATTTATCCAAAATATCCCTCTAGCGAGTAGTTCTAGCTGATCTTTGCTCACATATATCGATAGAAAGATCCTTCAGTGCACTAAGAAGTAACCACATTACGAAATAAATTTGACAAATATACTTTAAACGATATTTTAATCATCAAACTTAATATAAATTTGTTAAACAACGTTATCTTTTTTGATATTCATTTTATTTTTGTGAATAATTTTATATTTGTCATAGAATGAATAAAATAATTTCAAAGAAATTGTTATTACTTTTGATAGTTTTGAGGGAATAAATATTTTAAGTGATAAAATGAATTTCAAAAGTATAAACGTCATGTTTAATAGTTAATTAAGGCAGTAATTTTTATAAGAAACAATCAATTCCCACCTAAAGTTAGTTTAGTGGAATAAACTATGCCCACCATGCCCATTAAGGGACTAATAATTCCTAGTTATAGTTTAAAGAAATGTCGATTTGGGATATTCTTACGAAAACAGAAATCGATTGAAGATTTCGACATCAGGAAAGATGGAGAGGATTTGATACCTTTGTCTAGATATTTTTTTGGGAAAATGTTTACCCCCAACCTGTCATGATTTAAACCACCAGAAGACATAGATTAATGATTAATTTGAAAACTCAAATAATCATGCTTCACTTAAAAATAAAAATATATAGTAAAAATTGCTGAGCTATATATTATATTTTCTAAGAAATTTAATTTTGAGAAAATTAAAATTTTTACTTGGCAACTTTTGAGAATTCAGTAAAAATTACTTTAAGTAGTAATTCTGAGTAATTAAGGGGAAAATAATATATGTTAAAGCTTTAACCTGTATGTATTACAACAACTATGCAATATATATTGGCTTACGCTTCATAATTACTGCTTGTCCTTGTGGCTAACTTCGTTTAAGACTACTTTTTAATATTAGATTCATACAAAATTTTTCAAAATATAACTAATATTTTATTTCTAAATTAAATAGACAGAAAAGATAAAAAAAATATATCTATAAGGATCGCAAAATCATATGATTCAAAAATATTCTGGAATTGGGGAAATCCCTTTTAATTTAGATGTAATTGATTTTGAATCGCCATCAAAATCCGATAAAGACAGTTTAATGAGTAATGTTATAGTTTTTACTTTTATAATTGTTTTTGGTTAGTGATTGGCAAATGATAAATTTATAAATATTAAGTACTCATCAATTAATCTTTTTAAAATGTTTAAGAGTGAGAGAGTAGAGATTAAAACGGCCTTTTTTTAGTCACACTTTATAGTTAACATTGTAAAGCGAAAATAATCAGTAATACGTATAGTTGTTAACATTTTTCTAAAAAGAATATTAATTTATGAAATATTTATTTCAAATTGCATAATATATTTGTTTATTAGGATTAATTTTTATATAAATTAACCATTTATCAATAAAATATTCTAGTAACTGAAATTTTATTTAATTCTTCTTAATTTATATATGCCAAGGTTCAAAATAGACCGGGGATAGTGTTATCACATTTCATTTTTAACTATTGTAAAGAAAAAAACTACTTAGTTATTCCACACCTAATCCCCATAAAAATAGATCTTATGCACACCTTAAACTTGATTATACAATATTTATTAAATATTGTAATGACAATAAATATATATATATAATCTTAAATAAAGTATATGTATTATAATTTTGATCTTAAAAATACCCCTCCCCCTCCTTCCTTGATTTAATATTTTTAAAAAAAAAAAATTATCTCTTTCAAATGAAAAAATTAACAATTCTATTTCTATTCATTCTACTTAGTGTTGTTAATTTGCTTGGTCGTAAAATATACGACCCAAATTTGTGCTAATACTTGCTATGAGCACGAACCCCGAGCACAGACCCGGGGATTTTTTAATTATTATATAGTCCTGCTCCTGCAAAAGCTAGTTAGCTTCGGGATAAAAAAATTTATCTCGGGTCGTTTAATTATAATTCCATATATTTTATAATTCCCCATTATTGGTCTTAATAAATTAGTCAGAGACCTGCTGGTCCGGCTCAGCCCGACCTGAGTACACTGGCCCCTATTTTAATTTTTTTAAATTAACCCAGGCCGGGCCTGAAAATTTATTTTAAAAATAATCCGAGGCGGACCCGTATATTTTAAAACCAAATATTTTAAATCGCCATTATTAGCTATATAAATCTAATATATTTAAAAAAATCTGGGCCTGGTCTGAAAATGTATTTTTAAAAATATTCAGGCCTGAAAATTTATTTTAAAAAAGCTGAGACGGGACGGGCCTTTTCGAAAAAAAATTTGAGAAAAAATCCAGGCCGGGCCGTGCAAATGGCACCTCTGCAGGTCTATGAAATTAGTGCCGAAGTTTTTAAAAAGTAATGTTTCTGGCCAGCGGCCCAGAGGGCCTAATATCATATTATCTAGCTGTCATAAGTTTTTAAAACGTTTTTAATAAGCTTTGTAAAACAAAAAAATATTGCCTTTTTTCCTAATAATAAATTTCAGTATTGTAAACAAAACGATTGCCTAAATAATTTAAATATTGTTTATTTTCATTAAATAAAATCGCAAAAAAAATTTTTTTTGATAAAATAAAAAATAAAATGAAGGATAAATAATTTTTTTTAAATTTTGAACTTTTTCCCCCCATTTTTCTTATTATAATTTTATCTAACTTTTTATGAGCCATATTAAGCGAAAATAATAGGGGGGGGGGGGGGAGAAATTTGTTTATAAAAGAAAATATTTCTTTATATAATTACTAAAAAATAAATACTTCCGATTTTTTATAAAATTATTATATGAATATTTCTAAATATAATATTTATGTAATGTGTTATTTGAATAAATATAAATATAATTATTTAAATGAATTTCGTTAAATCGATCACGATTTGGCCGACCCCTTTTCAACAGGGTTTCGAACCATTAAGTATAGAGGTTCGGTTCGTTACGGTTTTTAGTTTAAAATTTTATAAAGGTTTTTTCGGTTTTTTTTGAAAAAATTTAAATCGGTTCGGTTTATAATTAATTTATAACGGTTCTTTTCGGTTTGTTCCGGTTCTTATAAATTTGATTTAAAAAAAATTTAATAATAAACCATATATATTAATATTAGAGAAAAATCTTTAGAAAATGCTCTTTCTACGGATACCTGCGTAGCTGGAACTGTTAGCACAGTTATAGCTTACTTATAAAGTTCTGGCATACTATTCTTTACATTTTCCCAATAATTCAAAAGATTTGTATCTTTTTCTAAAATCTCTATATTATTAAATGACCGAATTATATATTCTCTTTCTATACATTTATTATAATTTTCTATGCCCTGCTGAGAACCGAAGCTTACTAGCTTTTGCAGGAGCAGGACTATAATAATCAAAAAATCCTAGGGTCTGAACCCCGAGCACAAACCCCGGGTCTGTGCTCGGGGTTCGTGCTCAGAGCTGGTTTAGTCGATATTTTAGACCCAAACCCCGGGTCTGAGCACTACACAACCAACCAATTAACAACACTAATTCTACTTTTGAATTCTTTTGCCGAAAAAAATTTAAGTTTTATTTTATTTAATATTAATAACTTCCGTTTTTTTACTTATTTTTTGTTTTTTCAGTAATAGCATAACTACCAATTCTATTCCCTCCCTTTTTTTATAAAAAATAATAAATAAAAAAAAAATATTATTTTTTAGCTAACTCTATGAATATGGATTTTTTTTTATAAAAATTAGGGGGTAATTATTAGTTCTTCTTTGTCTTTCTTTCCTTTTCTTTTTCTAAATTTAAATTCAATCTGGGTAAAAATATAATAATTATTTTAGACAGAAACATTTTTATAAAAGAATTACAAAATTAAATATAAACCATCTCCCTCCCTCCCTCTTTTCTTTACTTTAGTAATAAATAATTATATATTTATTGTTTTTTATAAATCATAGTAATAAAAAAAGTATTTAAAAGTGAGAAAATTTATAAAAAATTCATTTTGATAAAATAATTTTATTTTGATAAAAAAATTACTTCCTCTTTATATTTTAACCTAATTTTCTACACTCTACTGGACGATTATTCTATTTTATTTTCCTATACGTAAGTTTTGATACCTTATTTTCTTCTAATATTATTATATTAATATTATATGGTGCATATAAGTCAAATCTACATTACCTTTTCATCTCTATTTTTATTTCCCATGGGCGTTTAAGTAAGGGGTTTTGCCTCTTGCGCGCACGGGTAACCGCGGCCTTCCCAAAAAACGTGTATGGTCCAATTATTTAAGTATTTCCCATCTTCTATCCCAGTTAGATGGGTTTTTCATGAGAGAACCAAACGTTGCTCTGTTGTATATATATTTCTGATATATATATGACGTTTTATGGCTAATGCGCTTAATTCACGTAAATTATATTTAAAAAATTTTTTTTTAGATGGACATCCAACTCGAAAATATTGGCCTTGATTTCTTAGCTGAATTTGCACAATCGACACCCGAAACCTCCTTTAATAATTCCTCTATATCGTTAGATATAAAGGGGAGTTTTGTTGAGACTCCCACCAAAAATCATAAGAAGTGTATTCATTGCTCAAAAAAGTACAAAAATACAACTTCCACAAGTAATATTTTATTCCTATAAATTATATTTTTGTTAATTTTTAGCAAATTTAAAAAGACACTTGGGATTATCTCATCCTAATATAATATCAGAAACATCTATCACAACCCCTGATGTTATGCCGGGAATAAGAAAACCCACAAATCAAGAAAATATAAAATTAAATATGCTGATATTAAAATATCTCATCCTAACCAATATTTCATTTAGAAATATAGAACATAATAGTTTTAAAGAGATGATTCATTATTGTAACAAAGGCTTTAAAATTTGGACGAGACAAACTCTAAAGAAAAAGCTTTGTACAATATATGAATCGTCTAAAAAAATAATAATTAAAAAATTAACTGATATAAATAGACTAGCAATCACTACAGATTGCTGGTCTAGCCCAGATTCCATAACCTACTGCGCTGTAACTATTCATTACATCAGTAGTGAATGGACACTAACTAATTTATTACTAACCATAGTTTCTTTCCCACATCCCCATACAGGACAGCAAATTTCCGATTTGCTGTTCAATTGTTTTAATGATTTTGAAATAACGGCTAAAATAATATCAATTACACACGACAATGCCAAAAATATTGTTAGTGGTGTTAATATGATGAAAGAGGAGTTTAAACTTCTTTATAAAAAAGACTTGTACAACCATCGTTGTCTAGCCCATGTTATAAATTTAATTGTACAAGAAGGTCTAGGGTTTTTATCAAATAAATTGGAGATAATTCATACCCTAGTCAACAAGCTTCATACCTCCCCTAAATTAATGGAACAATATGTTAAAATAAGTGGAGGTACCAAAATTCCTTTGGACGTTGCTACACGCTGGAACAGCACATATCTAATGATAGCTGCTGTAAATAAGGTATTATTTTTACAAAGTATTAATATTTAAACATTAATATATTTATTTAATACAGAATATCGAAGCAATTGTTGAACTAGGACAAACATCTTTGGGGAAAAATAAGTTTTTCATTAATAAGGAATTACGCCAATTATTAACCGATCTGGAAATATTTTTATCTCCTTTTTACAAAATAACTTGTGAAATTAGTTCACAATCCCCAACTATTGGGATGGCGATCTTATTTTTGAATTTTATTCACGAAAATCTAATAAACGCTACAAAAAATAATGGAATAATATATAATGCAGCATCTAAAATGTTGATTAAATGTGATGACTATTTGGCGAAAATGTATTATTTCGCCAATTATGCCGGGTCTTTTTTAGACCCAAGAATAAAAAAATCCTTAATTCCAAATAATATTGATTTCCAAAAGGATTATTTTGACGATTTTAAAAGTGTCTTTAAAACTTATTCAACCTCTGGGACAAGTTATCAATATGTCGATGATGAGAGTAATCCTAATAATCTTACATCTGTATCCATTTTGCAGGAATTAAAAAAGTATATAAATTATATGATGTATCTAATAATTATTTTATGACATCTAGAAAGAAAAATGTACGTGGGAGTGCTTTTGAGAGCGAAATAGATGAATATTTAGGAGAACCACTTTGTCCAGAAAATGCTAATATTTTAGATTGGTGGAGAGGAAACCAAACACGATTTCCATGCCTTTCTCAAATGGCGAGGGATTTTCTGGCTCAGCAAACTACCTCTGTCCCTAGCGAGCGGGTTTTCTCACGAGCTGGAGATACAGTTACGAAAAAAAGAAATCGGATGTCATCAAAGACGCTAAAACAATGCCTAGCTCTATCGTCTTGGGATGGCACGATATTTAATTTACAAGACGAATTATTTAAATAATTATATTTATTTAAATATATATTTGTTATATTATCATATTTAAAATATATTGTCATAATATTTAATAAATAAATTGTATATTCAAGTTTATGGTGTGCATAAGATCTATTTTTATGGGGATTAGGTGTGGAATAACTAAGTAGTTTTTTTCTTTACAATAGTTAAAAATGAAATGTGATAACACTATCCCCGGTCTATTTTGAACCTTGGCATATATAAATTAAGAAGAATTAAATAAAATTTCAGTTACTAGAATATTTTATTGATAAATGGTTAATTTATATAAAAATTAATCCTAATAAACAAATATATTATGCAATTTGAAATAAATATTTCATAAATTAATATTCTTTTTAGAAAAATGTTAACAACTATACGTATTACTGATTATTTTCGCTTTACAATGTTAACTATAAAGTGTGACTAAAAAAAGGCCGTTTTAATCTCTACTCTCTCACTCTTAAACATTTTAAAAAGATTAATTGATGAGTACTTAATATTTATAAATTTATCATTTGCCAATCACTAACCAAAAACAATTATAAAAGTAAAAACTATAACATTACTCATTAAACTGTCTTTATCGGATTTTGATGGCGATTCAAAATCAATTACATCTAAATTAAAAGGGATTTCCCCAATTCCAGAATATTTTTGAATCATATGATTTTGCGATCCTTATAGATATATTTTTTTTATCTTTTCTGTCTATTTAATTTAGAAATAAAATATTAGTTATATTTTGAAAAATTTTGTATGAATCTAATATTAAAAAGTAGTCTTAAACGAAGTTAGCCACAAGGACAAGCAGTAATTATGAAGCGTAAGCCAATATATATTGCATAGTTGTTGTAATACATACAGGTTAAAGCTTTAACATATATTATTTTCCCCTTAATTACTCAGAATTACTACTTAAAGTAATTTTTACTGAATTCTCAAAAGTTGCCAAGTAAAAATTTTAATTTTCTCAAAATTAAATTTCTTAGAAAATATAATATATAGCTCAGCAATTTTTACTATATATTTTTATTTTTAAGTGAAGCATGATTATTTGAGTTTTCAAATTAATCATTAATCTATGTCTTCTGGTGGTTTAAATCATGACAGGTTGGGGGTAGACATTTTTCCAAAAAAATATCTAGACAAAGGTATCAAATCCTCTCCATCTTTCCTGATGTCGAAATCTTCAATCGATTTCTGTTTTCGTAAGAATATCCCAAATCGACATTTCTTTAAACTATAACTAGGAATTATTAGTCCCTTATTGGGCATGGTGGGCATAGTTTATTCCACTAAACTAACTTTAGGTGGGAATTGATTGTTTCTTATAAAAATTACTGCCTTAATTAACTATTAAACATGACGTTTATACTTTTGAAATTCATTTTATCACTTAAAATATTTATTCCCTCAAAACTATCAAAAGTAATAACAATTTCTTTGAAATTATTTTATTCATTCTATGACAAATATAAAATTATTCACAAATATTAATAAAATGAATATCAAAAAAGATAACGTTGTTTAACAAATTTATATTAAGTTTGATGATTAAAATATCGTTTAAAGTATATTTGTCAAATTTATTTCGTAATGTGGTTACTTCTTAGTGCACTGAAGGATCTTTCTATCGATATATGTGAGCAAAGATCAGCTAGAACTACTCGCTAGAGGGATATTTTGGATAAATGTAAAAATATTTTGATGGGAAGGCAATTTTAAGCTATACAATACATTAATTTGTAATATCCATTATCGAATTAGAGTTAAACAACAAATAAATGCATTTCAGCTTAAAATTAAAGTAGAGTCAACTCCTGAGGTGACTAATGTCAACTCCTGAGGTGACTTATGTCAACTCCTGAGCCAGCATATCTAATCTGTTTGAGGCTTAGCCATTTTTTACAACTTTAGGGTAAGAATTAAATCAACATAAATTATCCTCATTTTTCGATGATATATGAATTATAAATATCTAAAAATCGATAAATTCCTATAATAAATTTTTCACGGTCTTAGAAGGTAATTATTTTGAATTCCATATCAATTATTTAATTAATATGAAATTGAATTACTCGTCCTCTAATTTTTAATTTTCAGAATATAAATATACAATTTTTTTAAAAAGACTATTATTGAAATATTCGTCCTCTATGCATAAAATTGAGCAAAACATTAACAATAAATTATTATAAGTTGATTTGGTTTGGTGCTCGGATCTGTGCTCTGGTCGATGCTCGGGTCTGTGCTCGGGTCGGTGCTCGGGTCGATGCTCGGGTCTGTGCTCGGGTTTGTGCTCGGGTCTGTGCTCGGGTCCGTGCTCGGGTCGATGCTCGGGTCCGTGCTCGGGTCTGTGCTCGGGTCGATGCTCGGGTCGGTGCTCGGGTCTGTGCTCGGGTCTGTGCTCGGGTCGATGCTCGGGTCTGTGCTCGGGTCTGTGCTCGGGTCGATGCTCGGGTCTGTGCTCGGGTTTGTGCTCGGGTCTGTGCTCGGGTCTGTGCTCGGGTCTGTGCTCGGGTTGATGCTCGGGTCTGTGCTCTGGTCCGTGCTCGGGTCTGTGCTCGGGTCTGTGCTCGGGTCCGTGCTCGGGTCGATGCTCGGGTCGGTGCTCGGGTCGATGCTCTTGTCTGTGCTCGGGTCGATGCTCGGGTCGGTGCTCGGGTCTGTGCTCGGGTCTGTGCTTGAGTCTGTGCTCGGGTTGATGCTCGGGTCTGTGCTTGGGTCGGTGCTCGGGTCTATAGATTTGGTCGACCAGGTCGACCAATTTGGTTGCTTTGGTTTTGGTTCATTTTTTCAACCAAAAACCAGAGTCGTGGTTGTGTAAAACCAGCTAATTAACCACACTAGGGGCAGCGTCAATTTAGTGTTACGATAATTTGGCAAAGCGACAATTGTACGCGTATATAATACAACTGCCATATATTATTGTTGATATGATCGATTAATACTAACCTTTAAAAAAAATTTTTTATGTTTATATAAATTGATTTTTTTTTATATAAATTGTGTAGATTGATTTTTTATATATTAATATGAAAATTGTTAAATAAGCCTGATTTTTTAGTTTGATGAAAGATGTAAAATTTTAAAATGAATTAAATAAAATTAAATTTGTAACTTTTATTTGTCTAAATTAAATAAAATAAACTCGTAACATTTAAATATTTTTAGAAAACTTTATGGTGGCAGTTTCGCTACATAGTCGAGGAAATCGTAAATAAATAAATGAATATTAAACAGAATCCCAATAATAATGTTAATATAAATATTGAATTTCCAATATACTCAGGCAATGGCGATCTTTTTTTTAGTAGATTCGAAGACATCTTCAATGACACTCAGATCTCGGAAAAAAGCAGGTTCCTTTACAAGAAGACTACCAGAGGTATATATCAAATTAGACGAACTAAATAAAATTGGGCTATAATGACTTACAAAATATTCTAAATCCACAGACAATATGATTTTAGCTACTGGAGACAACTAGATAAAAAGTTCTGGAAT